CTAGTACGTTTGATTATCCTACCTACAGCGCTAGGGCGTTGCTAGTAGAAAGGAAGGGAGGCATGCTGAGCCGAGTAGACAAGGGCGAGACAAAGGAGTCGAGACATTGAATAGTGGATGACCAGTAGTAGTATTACCACCCTCACAGGCTAGGGCGCGCTCTCCTTGTTAATAAACACAGCTGTCCACTGGGAAAAATAATATATTACATACATCCTATGCTGATGAATACCCTCTAACCATATTTAAATGGCATATTCATCACAAAATTTACAAACATCTTCTTGCTGATATGTGAGAGCGGTTTAGAGATGAGAGTAGACGAGGGAGAGAGCGCACACTCTAGAGACGGCAGAGATGAAAAAAGCGCACGCGCCTAGAGAGCAGAGCGAGAGACGAAGACGCGAGCAGAGAGAGAGCACCGAATGAGAGATGAGGACGAGAGAGGAGATAGTGGAGAGAGCCGCGCGCTATGTGAGAAAGCAGGACGCGCGTGCCTAGAGAGAGCCATGGAGACGAGGACTAGAGATGACCGTGAGAAGAGACGATCGATGACGAGAGACAGAGTGTAAGACGACGGAGATGAGAGCGTTATACCCCCCTGGTACAAATCCTGTACACGCCCCTGCCGAGCAAATTGCCAACATTGAAAAACGAACCCCCCCCCCAATACAAAGCTGGCTACGGGCCTGTATATGGACGCACACACACACATATATGCACACACTCATATACGCACGCACACGCATGCACGCTTTCTGAACAGTACGGTTTAGCTCTGTAGCCAGTATTGCACATGGCGTTGCTCTATTACAACATTGTGGGTCAACATGTGGGTCAAACGGTTCCTGAGTTATCGTTGACCGTAGCCAAATGTTGACAGACGGACGGACAGACGGACGGACGAAGACCCATGGCAATAGCTCAGCTTGACGATGTCAAGGTAAGCTAAAAATTGTCACAGGCATAGAAATAATATACTAGTTAAACTCTCTAGTGTCTCTATATAATATTTCTATGGTCACTTGCCTAACGAAGAAGAAATAGTACATCACACCAAGGAATTATAAGTGAAAAATGTCTCGGCAGATGGCAGCAGTAAACGTACTGCGCATGTATTTACGTTGTGACGATCATGAGGCTGATTCATGTTCATATCTTGATACGTATGAGAATCTAATTTGAAGGTTGACTGCTAATCTAGTTTGACTGCTAAGAATATTGTTTAGGTTTATGTCGCGTATAGCAAGAGCAACCTTATGTTCTTCGGTCGTAGTTACGTGTAGCATTATAGCATATGTTCATTGGAAACAGAAGACTGACAGGGAGGTAAGAATAAGATATTAATTATTAATATTAATATTTATTATGTTATTATGGTACCTTCACTGTATTTTACCCAATATATGGTATCATATAGACTATATTATACTCTATTAGTATTAGTATTACAGGGTGCAAATCCACTTTAGGCACCTTAGCTTAGGTATCACGAAGTGATGCACAGATTTCTGTGTATCATCAACTGATGCACAGAATTTCCGTATATCAAGGAATGATGCAAAAACCCTAACCCCAACGGCCCAACCCTAACCCTAACACACTTCGTGATACCTAAGGAGTAAGGTTATACTTTATGACTTAGGGTTAGGGATTTTGCATCATTCCTTGATATACGGAAAGTCTGTGCATCAGTTGATGATACGCAGAAATCTGTGCATCACTTCGTGATACCTAAAGTGCCTAAAGTGGGTTTGCGCCGTATTACAGTTCAATCGTGTCCGTGAAACGTAAAATATAATACTTATATATGTATGTGTTACGAGCTGGCTCGCTGCGCTGGCTGGCTGGCTGGCTCGCTGCCTCAGCGCGCTAATATTAATAATAATATCGATCGCGCGAACAGACTGACACACGAACAGACTAACACACGAACACACTACACGAGAGCGATCACATAACCTCCTCCAACTCCGTTGGGCGGAGGTAACAACAACAATAATAATAATAACAATAATTACAGGGAACTGCGCGACGCATGATGATGAAGGCGCATGAGCGTGCAGAGCCTGGCCGCAGATGTTTATACAGCGTTATCCTCATTCAAACGCATGTCAGGTCCGACATACCTTCAAATCTGAAGCTAATTTGTGAGGTCCAATAAATCCTCTGAAATCATGATGACATGCCTTATCGGCATCACAGGCACTTGGAACGTCTCAATAAAAAAAATTAATGGTAAATAAACACGAAATGTACCAGTCTTAATGTTTCTCTACTCTATTTTGCCTATAATCGCCTGTAAATGCCGGTCAAATGCTCATCTGCAACACACAAGTACACCGCATGCCCGTCCTGTACTGCTTGCACAAACAACATGAATAAGAGAGCAGGTAGGAAAACGTGATCACGAAATTCGCTCGACGCTCACTTCATTTCACACGATCACAGAACGAAAACACATGCAACAGCTCCCATCTTGGTATCTATGTGTACATAAATGTTTACTTGTTCGAATTATAACTCTGGCCTTTGTTCTTACCTAATCCCGCCAGAGATATCTCGTGAAATCCTGCAGGAAATGTTCTCTCCGTGAAAATGTAAAGAGGACGTTATCATCCGAAAATCCCTAACCGCGCTACTTTCGATCGATCGCTGTAGTCATGTGTGCGTGACGTCATTTGCGCGCGCATTGTGCTTGGCTTGGCGGGCCTCGAAATGGAGCTCGGAGGCCGGCAGCAGCTCATCCCGGCATGCAATGCGCCACCATTACTCGTGTATAAACAGACATCTCGTCCTCTTCACATTTTCACGGAGAGCATTTCCTGCAGGATTTCACGAGATATCTCTGGCGGGAGTAGGTAAGAACAAAGGCCAGAGTTATAATTCGAACAAGTGAACATTTATGTACACATAGATACCAAGATGTGAGCTGTTGGGTGTGTTTTCGTTCTGTGATCGTGTGAAATGAAGCGAGCGTCGAGCGAATTTTGCGATCACGCTTTCCTACCTGCTCTCTTATTCATGTTGTTTGCGCACAGCGCGGGCGTGCGGTGTACTTGCGTGTTGCAGATGAGCATTTGACTGGCATTTACAGGTGATTATAGGCGAAATAGAGTAGAGAAACATTAAGAATTTGGTAGTAAATACATTTTGTGTTTATTTACCATTGTTTTTTTTTTATTGAGACATTCCAAGTGCCTGTGATCGGCATGCCTCCACTCCAGTCCGAGCTGTGTTTACTTTCGACAATCTTAACGCAGTCATGCTATGTTTTTGCAGCTTGATGTATATGTCTACGAACTGCTAGTTCATCTGTGTACTATTAGAGCTGCTCCTAACATGAGTAATTGCCAACTACGCAATTGGGGATTAATTACCTGATTAGCTGATATGTGTGCTGAAATTTTGGTTCATGGATATAAGCGCTGACCACAATTCATTTTCACAATTGTGTGACATGTGCAAATGTGGCCAGCTCGTATATAAGCTTGAGCCGAAATTTTTGGGGAGAACCTTGCATATATGTAATATTCTTGTAATACTAATGTAACGTGTTGTAAAAATAGGCGAGTTTGTGTGAGATTTCAGTCATCGTTAACCAGGACTGTACTAACTACATGAACCACCATGTAATTTGTAAATCACACTGTAACAGCCGTGTTTCACAGCATGAAATACATTTTCAATTTCATTGTGAATTGAGAGAGTTGTGGTGTCACTTATAAATGTTTTTTTATTTGTCTAGAGTAATGTCAGTCTATATAAGCAATCTAGTAAACATTGCTAAATACATGCATTTTAGATGTTGGTAATGTCATGTTTTCATTACGTACCCTAAAGCTGAGCCAACTTGTGTAAATGTCATGCTTACCAAACAACATTTAGGAGCTATATAAAATGATAACGGTACATAAAGATATCTCTATTAGGTGGGCTGTAGTTTCATGCAGTTGATATTGTATTTCACCTGCTCTTGTCATTGTTGGCTTTATTTGTGTAACAGCGCATATGAACACATCATTCTAATGTGTTACATACCAGGATTGAGGAATATGAACATGTCATTTCTGTAGTGCGTGACTAACAATGTGCATAGCAACTATTAGTGTTAGTGCTTTCTGTGACCTTTAGACGTCTGACGTCTACAGTAGATGTACATGAGAAATAGTCACAGTTTCAGTATGATATCGCCAAGATTGACTACAAACAAAAAACACTATTTTTTTCATTCCGGATATTACAGTAACGAATTAAATATTCGTACTTGATATAACAACGTCTGTGCTATCTTTACAGTGCAAAAACAATTATCATGGCATATATATATATATATATATATATATATATATATATATATATATATATATATATATATGTGTATATGTATATGTGTGTGTGCGTGCGTGCGTGTGTGTGTGTGCGTGTGCGTGCATGACCTCATGGTGTGAGGAGAGGCTCTGTGCCCACACGTACGTGTTAGCACTACGCTGAGCAGTGATTCAGGGGAGTTGGTTGTAAACGTGAACGACGTATTGCTGTGCGTAGGCTCTGCGGCAAGGTGTGGTGAGAGACCTGGAGCGGCAGCACATGAAACGCACGCAGAATCTGAAGCTGCTGCAGCAACAGATCGATCTCACCAAGGAGCTCAAGAAGAGGGTATCTAAGCAGGAGGAAGCCAACAACGACAACGACAATGTAAGCAGGAGCGAGACAACTACCAGGGCACGAAATTCCGTGCCCTGTTTTTGCACCAGCCCGAGGGCTGGTAACAGCAATTTTTAGCTCACCTTGACATCGTCAAGCTGAGCTATTGCCATGGGTGTCGTCCGTCGTCCGTCCGTCTGTCCGTCCGTCCGTCAACATTTGGTTTCGGTCAACGATAACTCAGGAACCGTTTGACCCACATGTTTGAAATTGGGTGTAGTTGTTACTGCTATGCTCCCATATGGAACGTCCTATTTTGGAGCACGCCAGTCGGCGTACTTTCGAGCCACGGCGATTTTTTGGGAAAAATGGAAATTGCCATTAGTCAGTTCAGGTTGAACGGATTTTGCTCATTTTTGGTATGTGAATGAATAAGGGCTAGAGGTTTTGATATTTAAAAAAATGTGCAATTTATGCAAAAAACGCCGATAACAAACAGTCTGTGGTGTCACACTCATCTGGTTCGTTTTACAAGATTTCATTGACAATATCTTTAATGCAATATTGGTATTTCCTCTCCAGCCTGCCGATAAAATGTCTATATTAGAGTAAAGTTTTACAAAACATGTCGGAACGCAGCATAATCTATTTATTTCGAATGCCATTGCTACAAAGCGGGTATAGCGCCATCTACCGTCACAAATTGTGATTCATTTTGGTTTATAAATTATTATTGCGATATACAGATGGCAACCGTGTGCTACCGCCTAGAAAAACTCATACGAAGTAAACACTTCCATGCAACCAATTAACCTTTGACAAAAGTTGTGTTATGGGCAGGGAAACACCATTGTCACGTGGTACATAGCAGCTACGCGGAATAAGCGTATCCTCTCAATCTTACACGTTACAACACATCAGGAGCTCCGCTTTTATAGGCAGTTCATAAATCTGAATATTATAAAAACGTTATTTGTGGTGAGCTACAGTGTCATTGACACTTTCATTTTACCAGCCCTCACAAATGCATTCTCGATTTCAAATTCGTAAAATTTTGATAAATAATTAATTATTGCGTGATATCCGTCAGGCCTAAAAAAAGACGTTTGTTTCTGCAAACCCGACCGAGTCCATTTGAAACCGCCGTGTCTAAACCTTTTATTGTGATCGGCCAAAAAAAAAAATCCCAACGTGATATCGATCGGTGAATTCATTGATTTGACTTTGAAGTCATTATATGGGCTGTTATAAGTATAAAACAAGTATTGTTAGAATACAAAAAAAAAGAATAAAAAATATTTGATAAATAGAGTTTTGCCTGCCTACCGTGTCCAATTTTTTTCAGCTCGTTAGTGGAAACAAACATCTTTTTTTCTTAGGCCTCAGGTAAAACAGTAATATAGGCTATTTGCTCATTAATGCTATAAATAAAAATGTAGGTACTCGCTAACACGGCTGAAACCACCAGCTCGGAGGGAAAACCACCACCCTCCAAATAATTTCCCGGCATATGCCGGTGGGCCAGTGCTAATTTCGCGCACTGACTACGTATACATGTCTAGATAGCATGCTCACCGTGGTTGATACTGTACAGACTGTATTCGTACGCTGTTGTGCGTATACAGTTATTAATAATATTACGTACTTAGAATCGTAGGAGAATTGATGGAAGGTTAAATTTTATGAGTATATATCCTTTGATTTATTTAGTACCCAATTATTGTTTAAACATGAAAAAGCACGAGAGGAAATTGTTTCCAGTTCTACTTTATATCTATGGAAAATCAATATTGAGGCAATTGTGCTTCTGTAGTTTGGTGTAAAACTGCTCGTAGAACTGACATCATTAACCACACCATCCATGGTTTCTCTGACCATTCTTGATTTACTGTTTTTTACTAGTCTGTCATGCCATAGCACATTTGTAGGTACGCATTAGTAGTATTTATGAATCGTAAAATATTCCATTTAAATGAATATATGCTGTATTTTTTATACTCATATAATGTCATTAAATAAATTGGTTTTCCACGTGAAAGCACTATGAAAATGTGAACACAACATGGTATCGTTTTTCCAAAGCTCAAGTAAAGTCGAGAAGAACTTAATAGTGCTGTATACGAAAGGTAGTATTTCCCTTGTTACTTGTATTGGTGGTCTATTCAAAATATACCGACATATGGGTTTATTATTCTGTATTAATCTACTAGTTCATACTGATCAAATCGACTATATTCTCTAATTACGTTTTACTTGATTGTTTTGCTGCAGTTAAAGGGTCTGTGAGGATAACCGCATGACAGAAATCCGTGCGTAACACAATTGACGTAGAGAACCCACTGCGGAACATGATGGAGGAGGACGCACTACTGACTACCCTGAAGATCCTCATCATAGGGGAGAGCAGTGTCGGCAAATCGAGTCTGCTGCTGCGTTTCACCGATGAGACGTTCGATCCAGACCTGCAGCCCACGATAGGCGTCGACTTCAAGGTAATGCTCCTCGATGTGAGGAGACTCCCTACATAATCAGAAATCGCGACTTTTACGCGATTCAAATCCATATCGAAAGCTCTAACTAATGTTACCTCCAAAATGTAATTCGTAAGTGTAATTAAAATGAAGAAAATTGAAGTGAATTGAAGAATTGAATTGAATTTCTTCCTCCTACCCGCCGCACACCAACGAACCAATCTCGCATCCCACTGTCGTTTCTGTCCTTATTTCATCCTACCTGCTGTGCACACCAACGGACCCCACATCTGAATCCTGTCCATGCATCGAATCTGCATCGTCGTGCATCTGCATCGAATCTCGCATTGCGTCATCAGATGAAGACCTATTTGTTCCTACCCGCTGTACGCCAACGAACCAATCTCGCATCGCACACATTTTCACCATTTTTATAATCATTTTTTTCATAATGTTTCCACCATTTCTTTCATAATTTTTTAACCATTTCTTTCCTCATTTTTCCACCATTTCTTTTGTCATTTTTTCTACCATTTCATCGCCTCATCTTCGCAGGTGAAGACGATCACGATCGACAACAATCGCTGCAAGCTCGCCATCTGGGACACGGCCGGCTTTGAGCGCTTCCGCACGCTGACCCCAAGCTACTACCGCGGCGCGCAGGGCGTCATCCTCGTCTACGACATCTCGAGCAGGCAGTCGTTCGAGCGACTCGGCACGTGGCTCGCCGAACTCGACATGTTCTCGTCGCGCGCGAACGTCGTCAAGATGCTCGTCGGAAACAAGAACGATCGCGAGCGCGAGCGGGAGGTCGAGCGCGCCGCGGGCGTCGCGTTCGCACGCAAGCACTCGATGCTGTTCATCGAAGCGAGCGCGAAGACGCGAGACGGCGTGCAGTGCGCCTTCGAGGAGCTAGTCGAGAAGATCGTACAGACGCCGGGGCTGTGGGAGGCGACAGGAGAGCGCGGGGTCGTCGTGTTAGGGGGCGCCACTGAGCCGGGTTGGATACAATACTGCGGCGGCTACTGCGAACTTATATGAGGGTGGGGTTATGTGATTGCTTATTGATCGATATAATCGTATATATGATTGCTTATATAATCGATATAATCAGGAGTCTATCAATATTGATCAATATCGATCGATGATCCCCTGATATAATCATATATATGATATATATATATATATATATATATATGATATATATGATAATATCAGGAGTAGATAATAGGGAGGAGTGTGACATCAATAAACAAGGGAAATTCGTCATTTACTAGCCTTATAATACCTACGATTTACTACGCGTAACTCATCCAACTTGAGCTCAAATCGGACACAGTACATTCGCCCATCATCGTACGAAATCGTTTCCTCGTAGACACCCGCAATCCGTAGATACAGCCTAAAACGTACGACACGATTCTCCATTCTCTGGCCATTAATCCAACGCCCATTGCGCGCCTATAATTCAGACAAAAGGCAGCAACCTGGCGCGCAGTCGCTGTACGTTTGCTCTCTCGGATAGCTGAATGTGGCGTTGTGGCTCGCAGGGAGATTGGAGATCGACGCAACACTCGACGAGCTAATCATTTGGTTGGCGTGCGTGCGTGAAGGCATGCCAGCTATGTACAAAGGTGGCCTGTGTAGCTGTGTACCGGGTCAAAGGTTATCTCGCCGAGTGTTGATGCCTAATCTCCCAGCGAGCCACATGCCTCACTCAGTTAGCAATAGCGCGTTAGGTAGCTGCCTTTTGTTTGAATTATAGGCGCGCAATGGGTTGGATTGATGGCCAGAGAATGGAGAATCGTGTCGTACGTTTTAGGCTGTATCTACGGATTGCGGGTGTCTACGAGGAAACGATTTCGTACGATGATGGGCGAATGTACTGTGTCCGATTTGAGCTCAAGTTGGATGAGTTACGTGTAGTAAATCGTAGGTATTATAAGGCTAGTAAATGACGAATTTCCCTTGTTTATTGATGTCACACTCCTCCCTATTATCTACTCCTGATAATATATATGATTGCTTATGTAATCGATGTAATCATATATGATTATATGACTGCGATATTACGATGCGATGTTATTATATGATATACGATATGAGGGTGGGATCTTTTTCGAAAGGGCCGGCCACTGTGAAGGCAGACGCTTGCGAGAGAGTTACCCCGAGGTTGGATTCATTTCGAAGTGGCGGGCATAGTAATGGTGATAAAGTCAGCATGTAGATTGACAATTGCGTACATTGACAATTACAACTGTGGAGGCTTGCGAGTGAGTTAGCCCAAGGTTAGATTCATTTTGAAGCTGCAGGCATAGTAACGATGAAGATGTCGGCGTGTTTTTTTCTACTGGACGAAATGCACGTACATGTGAACGAGACGCGAATCGTTTAGCTTCATTTAACTAAGTTTTAACTTCATTTTACTGGTAATGTGAAATGCACATGATCTGAGATTTGTAAACATGTACGTTGATGCGCATTATCTATTTATCGTAGCGGTGATGGGTGAAGAAGGAATCATGCATGCAAACTTTATGGTGAATTAAATGTCCTCATCAATTCGAAAGCAAATTCGAGTCATTATGCACACGATACACCACATTGCAAGTTAATACGTGTGGTCCTCTCCAACTATTGATCAAGTTTGCTGCTATTAAACACACACGGGCATGGTAAGCGATCCATGAGCGACTTCCGTATTTGGTTAAGGTGGTTCGGAGAGATATTTTGTGAGGTGTTCAGACCCTTCTCCTCGTCCGAGATCATAAGACTTGTGAGTGAAGAGTGGATATGTAATTGCAAGTACATCAATCGGAAGTATGCTGGCCAAAATTACCGTTGTATTCTGTTTCGTTTTACATGTATTACGTGTACAATGAGGTAAAAAAAAACGTCGAGATTTCCAGTAGCAAAATGTAATCACCACACATTGGATTTGCACAGCAAAGTCGCACGTGCTTGCCCCGACAGCTACCAAGGTGTAAACTATTTTGTATATTTTCCCTCGACTTCCAATTGAATGTTATCAATTGTACATACAAGGGATTGTTTTGCTAGCATCTTCTATTCGTTTGTACCGAAATGCCTAAACATTATTAAAACTTTTCGTTAACAGTTTAAAGCTATAATAGTATCAGATAGTATGCTACTCTGTGCCTTGCTTGTAGAAAATGTCCAATAGTTAAAACTTGTTATGCGGGGAATGTATAGTCGCTTATCAAGCGGTTGCTAAGGAAGGCTCATTATATTTTGTATACATGTACATACCAGCGAGTTCCTGTAGTATAGATATAGCCGTAATGGTTCATATCACTCAGGAGGGAGCGTTGCTTGTTTATGTGGAATGCTTCACCATATATATATATATAATCAGAAGTAGATAATAGGGAATCCCTATTATCTACTTCTGATATAATGTATATATAACCCAGTAACTCATTGTCGTTACCAGTATAATTTCGGAGTAGAAATATCAAATTTTGTAAAATTCGACAAAGAGCTGAATAAGCGCGTCCATTTTTTGGGAGTAAAAATAGTAACTAAACAGTCGAGCAAAAAAATCAACAAGTCATTGTTCTACCTTGTTCTTATGATATGGAAACGTGTCTTGCCAAAATCATTCAGGTGAACTGGCACTCTGTGCTAAGGTGCTGCAGTGCATTTACTGCTATATTGGGCTGTAGGCCTAGTGCGTGCGTGAACGCTGCATTATGTTCTCCTTCTCTGACCTCTACACAACAATGTTTGCAACCACCACCCACGCCCTCAAATCTGCGTGTATCACGGGCAATCGTTTCTCACTTTTCCCATTATATTAACCTATTTATAATAACACATGAATTTAAATTTTAATGCGGAATAATGATTCGGTGATCATTTTAGCCGGTGCCCTGATATCCAGTGTGAATCAAACGTGTAGGTCAACGAGTAGAGTAGAAGTTGCATGATATATGTATAGACTACATAAATAAATAAATGTTTGCTCACGATACATCCTTGTCAAATGTATAAATGTGTTTACTAGTATGCATGCTTGTAAGTATGACAGTCATGTTTGCACACCGCCTAGCCACTTAACGGGACAGAAATATAGCAGGTTATCCTTCAAAATATAGGAGAAATGTAGGAATTTTGAGGAATTGAGCAGAAGCTGTGCACACATTCACCCTACGAAACAATTCAGAGATACAGTCTGCAGGAATAAGCTGTTGACTCTTCAAAGAGATGCGCATGACCTGTACAACTTAATAAGAGCAACTCCACTCTGAATGCTTGGTGTAATCCAGGTCCACCTGAAATATATCACAAAAACACAAATAATGAGTAACACGTTGCACTTTAACAAGTTGCAAGTTCCCATGGCGCTTTAACCTACACACGTTAGGGCAAACCATGCATGGGTGAATTGGCTTCACAAGAACACACACAAAAATAACTGAAAGATAACTTACTCTATTATATACAATGAAAGTCATGGTCATAAAACTGTTGACAGATAATTGGATAGACCATAGCATAAGAATATATTTGAAGCAAAGTACAAACCATGCAATCTCATAACCTGATATTGTTATATAAAGTCATTGATTATTCGTTAATTAAAGAACAACTACTAGCAACGACAGTACATGCAAAAGCATCATAGTTCTAATGCCGAGTGGTATAATCCCTTTGCCGCTACTTTAGCTCCTGGCTATATCACCACTCTGTAAGTAGTAGCTACAAGATAAACCACTACTCCAAAACGAGGAGCATGTACTACAGTAAGCAATTGTGTTAGTATCCCCATAAAAAGAGCACAAATTTATCTCAAACAATCACACACGTTTATCTTCTTACTAGAACAGCCACTCGATTTTGTACAATTTATTGCTTTGCATTTAATAGCAATTTCAGCCTAGTGCTATTTTACGCTGTAAAACAATAAATTTAGTTATGTTAGAAAGGAAACATGACATACCAGATAGAAGTGAAGTGCCTTGATATTGGACTACAGCAAGTTCTGGTGAAGATTTTTTTATGAGCTACAGTGTCATCCATCCTACAAATATAATCTTGTATGCCAAGGATTAGTTGCTGGTAATCTAACTACAAGCATGACAGATGCCACGGACAGGATACACAAGCAAATCTCCAAAACTGGCGGCCAATGCATTGTTATACAAATAAGAATACTACCCACTTCGTCTCAATTAAGAGTCAATGAATTATTATAGAGAAGATTGCTGCAAGGAATGATCTTGTCAATGAAAGTCCAATATCCATCTATACAAGAGACTCGATCGGCCATAATAGATGATCTCTCCCCCTAACAAGTTACCCAAAAATTGCCAGCCACTCAAAATATAGGAAATATAGGTTGTGTCAAAATATAGGAGTTTTATAGGATCCTATAACACACAGGAAATATAGGGAGGTCTAGGAGTTATGTGTTTGAGTAGTAAGAACAGCTGCATCACAACAATTCAATCAGATGAAATACAGAGCTACGTTATCGTGTCTATACGACAGTTTCCGATCCACGGGTAACAAAAGTAAGAAACAGCTACAGGGCTGTTTGTTAAGAAAATGTTTTTTATTCGATTCCTTACAAACGTCCCTTCCATAAATGTACATAATAAAATAACATAATTATACATAATTGTCATTATTGGAAAAACAAATGACGGCAATACGTCCGTCCAGACATCTCATCATTAGTCATGACACGTACCAGGCATCCCGGTTACCACGGTTACCACGGAAGCGGACTGAAAGCGATACAGTGGCAGACAAAATTTGTCTAAAAACGCATGTATTTTTAAAACGACGCTGTGTGCGCGGATAGCTACCAGCAAACATACTCCGTATCACAGCTAGAAATATACCAGTCGCTATCGTCGTTAAAGTATGCAGCAATGATGTGGATGCAAGTGAGTTAAAAGCTGCTGTATAATTATATATATAATGATGTATATTTATACACCCACCACAATGCATTGTTAAAATCTATCCTAGTGAGCATCACACCACACGTCATACAAGACAAACTGCTTCCGAGAATTTTTTTTGCGATCTCGTGGCAATACCAAGATAAACCAGAATTAATCGAACGCGGTTTACATGTGGATCCACTACACCTGCAATTTACAATCCAGCCACTGTCCGCAGCAATAAGTGTGCTCAACACACACTGTAAATACGTAATATGTTAGATTAGCATATGTACATACAGTGCAAATAGGGCAGACTTGTTCCCGCAGTCAGTGGAAGCTGCAACTCCAATAAGGCTTACATTAGTACGTACGACTACCGACAGGTGGCAGGGAAGACAAACGCCACCTTGTGGTGGTTACGGGGACCTTGTCAGATGCTACGTCATGGGGAATGTTATTCGTAACAACGGTGGATTGGCCACACCTTACGCAAATTTAGAGACTCTATCGCCATTGACGTGGAACCCACAAGGTCAACAGGGAAGGGGCCGTCCGAAAACCACATGGAGGAGGTCGGTCGAAGCAGAAATCAAAGCCGAGGGACACACCTGGGACACCATCAGCCCAACACCGAGTCAGATGGTGAGGATTCATCAGTGGCCTATGCTCCACCCAGGAGCCATGGGCGTCACTGACTGACCGACAGGTAGCAGGGACGTCAAACACCACCTTGTTGTTGTTACGGGAAAATTGTCAGATGCTACGTTACGGGGAATGTTATTCATAACAACGATGCCATTCGAACCTCATTCATACTTACAGGCAATTTTCATGCTGTGACTCAATTCGTCATCTCGATAACTACCAACTAGTTAGTACTCAACAAGCAGTCAACAAATACATCTATTAACACTAGCATGGCAAGATTGATATTCTATGGCATTCTTTCCTAGTGTTTCATATTGTTATATATGATACACCCACTACCATCAGGGAAAATACAAAATTCTCATCCGAGTCTTTGTAAAATAAGTAATCAATGTTCGGCAATTAGTCCAAGTAAGATGGACACAGTGAGCATAAACCAATACCAGAAAAATTGTAAACTGAATATTCACTTTACAAGCGGTCAAAATGGTCGCTGAAGCAACAATCAAAGCAACACTGACGCACACAGCCGCTACGCGTGATCCCAGCTCCTACGTGTAAATTTGGGTTTACACTACCGACTTTGTGTTGGCGAATTGGCGAATTGGACCAACTTCCCAACTATACAACCGACAGTCAGCAGTGTAAATGCAAAAGTTGCGCGACAAACCGATCGATAGCAACTAGTTGGGAGATCAGAACATGTTCTATTTTCGCCAACTCGGAGTTGGCGAATTGGGAAGTTGGTCCGACTCGCCAATTCGCTAACATAAAGTTGGTAGTGTAAACCCAGCTTAATGCAATGTGGTACACGCAACACAGTGACGTATCTCCAGGAATTCTCGCAGCGGATTAAAACACCCTATATAACAATCAATATCCTAAATTATGTACACGCGCTTCACAAGTCATGCAGCACTTCCTTGCATGATTTTCATACATGAGCAACAATTCCTTTTCATCGTAGCTTCAATAGCAGTATGACACAAAAACTGATCGACATAGCACAACGCAAACGTTTGCCACAAGCACACATTTTAATAAACTCAAGGTCACTATATTTTACTGCCCAAACGAGCACCTGCAAGCATAGCTCTATAACTATAGCCCTTCGCTGCAGCTGTGGCAGAGTCAAGGGCTATTGTTCTAGAGCTACTGCAAGCCTGCATCAGTCGTGACGTAACCAACACACAACTCTTACGACTTCCACCGGGGAATGAAGAATTGGCATGAGCCGGCAGCAGCATCTTTCTCATTTACAAGAAGCAATCGTTTCTACAAAGGAAGGGCTTCACCACTACAACAGTAACAGGAGAAAACGACAAATACAAATACAAAGCCTACCGAATATTATTGCATGATCGAACAGAAGACGTGTAGTACACAGAACAGAAACTCACATAAGGCACTATCCGGTAGCGGAAGACAGGATGGGGGGGGGGCAGTGGCAATGTGCTGACTGGTTAAAATGCTGAGGTGAACATGCAATTGCATGTCAAGCATAGATGTGTACCACTGATCAGTAATCACAATACTTTCAAACCTACAACCCTAGTGGCGCCACCTACATTTTCATAAAGTGATTACTAGCCAAGCCAATATGGGGGAATGTACAGAACATATCACTTATGTATCAGTTGTGTCAGTTTGATATACATTTGCAGATTGGCGAACAGTGGCAGAAGCTTCTGGGTGGGGATACCAACAAACAAAAAGAGTAAAACATGCCAACAGTAAAAAGCTAGAATGCGTACTAACCTGCTATCTAATTACAACGGTCACAAACACACACAGTACTTAATTTGACTGTTTGTAACACTACAGCGTAAAGACTGAATAAGGAGCCCAGTAACAGATAAGACGCACGCACACACCGCACGCACACGCGAGAGCCCCCCTGAAACCTGATGAAATGAACACACGCTGGCCAGGTCGGTGCGGAGTATGAGAGATCATCGTAAATAAAACGTACCTACTACAACCTCAAAATCAACAACCTGCCTCTCTTTGAGAATGCAGCAAACGTGCACTGGTGATGCTTATTAACGAATAGCTGCCCGCAACGTACCATGAACCCACGCATACTACACATACATACACCCACGCGCGCACGTACGCACGCACGCACGCACATACATGAAAGTATCTACCAAGTATACACATGTTCACGGTTATGGAACTGAATTCCCAAGCTGTGCTTGCAATTCCTCGTGGCACAATCTGAAACGTAAAAGGAACAGCCCCCGTACAAGAGGCGAAATGCATTTTGGAATGTTAACAAAACCGACGATAACAAAACGCTTCAGTTCAAAAGAAAAGCAACTATCAGATAGCTGCTAGATCACAACGCTGAACTAATAACGCATGCTTCAAGTAGTAACGAAATGGAATGGATTTCTCACAAGTTATGCATAATCCATGATAAATTATGCACGACTCGCTGCGTCAGCTGCACAAATAATCACGTTTTTTCATCACAGTGAAACCGTTGACCATTTCATGTTAACGAAAACGTGCTCCAGTTAGCACTTCCACTCTGCCACGTCGCACGACCTACTGGTTAGACGCGTCCCTTGTCGGTTTTTACGCACGAAAAAGACATCTAACGACACCGCCCGCAGTAGAAACACATTCTCTGATTGGGGCAGAGTTCATCGAATTAGGTAAAAGATTAAGCCTAGCGCAGACTTGCGATTTTTGGTTGCTCGTCGCTGCAAACTGCAACCGCAAGCGATCGGTCGATGTGTCACCGCGTGTGCGCACACAGGCGATTTCGAAGCAATTCTAGAGCATTTTGGGAGCGATGAGTTGCCCAAAAACCAAACTAGTTTGATTTCTTGCAACTCGTCGCAAGCGACCAGAATCGCTACGGGTTGCAGTTGCACGTTCCCACAGACGTAGCGATTTCACAACAATTTTTACAGCGATTCTAGAATCGCTGTCAAGCTGCATGAAAAAATTGCAGCTCTGCGCTAGGTTTTAGAAGACCAGCAGTTTTCTGATTGGTGCCTCGTAGGATACATCTCATTCAAGCTAAAGGTTGTCGCGGGACACTTAACACAGTGAAAGAGCAGAGAAATGCTGAACATATACAAACGTGCATATTGTCACACCAGCCACTTAAATTTGGGATAAATCGATTACGGGAATCAATCTAAGATTGAAAGGTTACAGTATCGAGGAAAATGCATCAGCCTAGAGTGAAAAAAATGCATAACTTGTTCGTCATAGCGAAATGTAAATGGAGTATAACACAACAACCATCAAGGAATGTATTGACAAAATCGGGACCTTTCCAAATCACACCACTAGCCACATATCACATCACACCTGTACAACAACCACAGGGGGTCAACCCAACTGATGGATGGCCCGAGAAACAAAATGGCTCCCCGAGAAATAAAAAAAAGCTGTCCGAGAAAAACAATGGCACTCTTTTCACGGTCACCCGTGCCAACATCTGATGCACACAATAGACAATTGTTAGATAACAATAGATAACTTCTGTTCGAACGTGTTCACCAGTTACCCAGGGAGAGTGTAGTACAGTAATCAACTCGAGAGGTAAGTATTCAGGGAGGTAATGACAATGGAAGCTGCACGAGATGCCGTAAAATCAGGAGTGTATAATATCATCTATATTATACACTTCTGGTAAAAATGTACGCCGGGAATATCGGAATGTGAAACGAGGGGAATGTATAACCTGCACATCAACGCAAACGTACGCCGGGAATATCGGAATGTGAAACGAGGGGAATGTATAACCTGCACATCAACGCAAACGTACGCCGGGAATATCGGAATGTGAAACGAGGGGAATGTATAACCTGCACATCAACGCAAACGTACGCCGGGAATATCGGAATGTGAAACGAGGGGAATGTATAACCTGCACATCAACGCAAAACGAGAGCTGCCTAATGACCATGTCTACTACGTACTACGCAGTGACGATAGCTGCGCAAATCCGCCTGCCATGGAATTATTAATCATAACGCATGCCACCACATAAGTTTCATTTACTGTGGCGATCACGAAAATGAAATAGTTGTAGCAGCGCTCTGCCACGTGTGGTGTTCAACTGCATTGCAGTCCTGCTGCATACAGTACCCACCACCACAGTCAATATCTATATCTGTATACATAATCGAAGAAACTGGCACAACATATAGCATCGTGTATGCGTAAGCTATACAGCATGAGAAACAAGACGCAAAGCAGGTGTCAGTTGAAGGAAAAAGACGTCGTTCATGAACCAGTGTGGTAGATGCCCGGAATACACCATTCTCTAAAATTCGTTCGAAATGCTGTCGTTCGCGAATCAAACCAGTATAGAGAATACACGGTGGGAACATTCGCCGGGGAACTTCACCCCACTGGTAGATGGCGCACGATAAACAATAGTACATGCCTAACGCTATCCCACCATCACGCGATTCGTTGTCTCGTAACATGCACGTGCACATTACACGTGTGATACATATGTATGCGTAACAATAAAAATCCCACCACAACCATCTATTTACGACTGATCTTCATCATATCCAAACAACATCATAGTCGTATAAATTTGGCATCTTATTTTCGTTATACATATACACGCGCGTTTCACGTGCCGGCTATAGCTGATTATTTACATGCCGTCGACGACGCGCTTACAAACTATACACACGCGCACCTCACAATCTCATTATTTGTTGCCATGGCAACGATTAAATTCCGTAGTGTGCAGCATCTTGTGAAAACGTCAAAAAATTGGGATTCACTAGAAGTGTCATTAAATACAACCATAGTAAGCTGCCCCCAGTGTGACCTACTCAGTGTGTATGATCACCACACCTCACCAGCACCTCGAATTGCATTTTCTCCTCCTGCGCAAGAAGAAAGCTGGGCAGAGTTTTGTTGGAAGCGCAGAGGTGAAGGGTAGCAAGGGTAATAGTCCGATAGTTGCCTCTAATTCCCCGGCTCCCGAAAACGGAACAGGAATGCAGCCAACTGACCAAGCGGCTGAAATGCTTTCGCGGGACGAATGGGCGTCATGCTGCGGGACAACTAATCGAATGTCAACCGACATGGAACGAATGAGTGTCGCAATGCAGCACGACGATCCGGCGTGGAATGAATGAGCGTCACGACGCAGCACGACGAGCGGGCGTGGAATGAATGAGCGTTGCTGGACGTGGTATGATGAGCCGATCTCCGGTCGACGAACAAGCGTGGCCGCACACAGAATTAACTCGCCGCTGCCAGTTGTTGCCGCTTACTGCCGGTTGTTGCCTCTTGCTGCTGCCTGCTGCTGCCTGCTGCTGCCGCCTCTATAGGTAGTCTTTTTCGATCTCCTGCAGGGAGAGCTTGCGCTGCCGGTGCAGACCGTGCAGCGCCGGCTGATGCATCAGCGGCCGCGTCCCGTCCTTGCTCTGCCCCTCCACGTCCATATCCAGCAGCGGCTTCTCTCCGTACATCCCCGCGTGCACGCTGTAGCGATTCTGCGCGTAGCGCCCCCTGTACGGCCCGTTCTCGCTCGCGGATGCGGCGGCGACGGGGGGGTCGGGCGGGGTGGGGTTGGTCGGGGACACGCCACCGCCCCACGCCTTCGGGGACGTGCGTCCGCGGACGGGCGACGCGTACCGCTGCCGGTACATGTACGACGCCTTGCTCGACACGTCGAGGCTTCCCGGCCGGTCGGAGGCCGCGCGACGCGGCGGCGGCTGCGGCCCTGCGCCTCCGCCTCCGCCTCCGCCTCCACCTCCGCCCCCGCCGTACCCCCCCGCGTCCGTCTTATAACCGCGGTGCGCGGGCGAGCCGTACTCCGACGATGTGGATCGATGCGCGGGCGAGCCGTAGTCAGACGACGCAGAGCGGTGCGCTGGACTACCGGCACTGCTGTACTCGCTGCGGTAATAAACATCCTTGTCGTAGCTCTGCTGACGACTCGGGCTCAGGTAGACGGCGGAGTCGCCGCCGCCCGTCGCGCTGCCCGGCCGGTGGTAGTCGCTGTTCTGACTCGACGAGCGGTGGAAGTCGGGGCGGCGCGCCGGACTGCTGAATTCCTGCCGGCTCGGGCTGTGGTAGTCGCGCTGCGCCGCCGCCGCCGCCGCCGCGTACTCCTGCCGGTACGCGTCGCGGCTGTAGTCGCGGCTGTTCTGCCGGCTGAGGTGTCCGTGCAGCGGGCTCTCGTTGTCGGCGGCGCCGGAGGCGGAGGAGTTGGAAGGCGTGCGGCGGTGGTAGCGCACGGGGCTCGTGTCCTCGAAAGTCACGCTCTGCCGCTTGCCGCCCGCGTCCCCGTCGCCGTGGTGACGCATGCTCTCGGGCACGTACAGCTCGGGCGGGTACTGCGACGCGCCGCCCCGCGGTGGCGCACCCGAGCGGTCGCTGTCGCTGTTCACGTAGCCCTCGTTGTCCATGCTCGCCGACAGCCGACGGATCTCCGTGTCGAGGTTACGGGAGCGGCGACGCAGCGCCGCACGCTGCGGCGACTCGTAACGCGCTCCCCCGCTGCTGCCGCCGGCTCGGACTTCGTCCAGCCCGGGCCGGGGGTGCGACGTCGCGCCGTGGTACGTGTTGTGCGGGTACCCGGAGGGGGACGTAAACTCGTAGTCCGACCCGAGCATGGAGCTTCGTCTGCTGCCGGCGGCGGCGGCGTCCGCATCCACGGACGGGTGCACGCCGGTCGTGTTCGTGAGGCGGATGTCGAATCCGGCTCCGAGCGACGCGAGCATCGCGCCGATGCCGCAGATGATCTGCTCGCTGAATTTCCGCTGCGGGAAGTGCTTGGTGGCGCCACCGCTGCCGCCGCCGTCGACGCCGTTCTGCGAGTGGTTGGCCGCTTTCGGTCGCATCATGTCCTCCGGCCATTCCTCGTCCTCGAGATCTGAAAACAGGAGAGCAATAGTGATGGGATTCGAGTTGATAGTGATGGAGTTTTGAGGTCACGGTCAAGGGATAAACAACAAGAAAACAAGTACAGAGATAGCGCGAAGGTTACTGTGCATATTGCATGCGTCACATACTATTATTATTGCGTGCACACACACGTGAGGAAATAAACGTGGATGTTACAACCGTGGTTGATGTTTATGAGTTAATAATAGCCGTGACTTGGTTAGTAATTCTTCGTCTCTTCCCTTCTAAGTTCTTAATTAATTTCTTCATTAAGATATGTTGTACTTCTTTCATCTGTGCGAGGAAACTTCGAGGAAGATGCAAGAAATTGTTTAATTAAGCAAAACAAGAAATTATAAAATTAAAATTAAATTAAATAGTATGATGAAGCAAAACAATATGCTGGCCCTGGCAGCCACCAGTCTCGTAAATCGCTTACACATCTCTCTCACGGCAGGAATGTTGGCCAAGCCACCAAGACTACGAAGCGACTTCTCCAGGTTTGGCGCACTTTTTGACCACCTCTCTACGCTACTGCGCTGTCTTGTCGTCACTTTCTCTTTTTGATGGACGGAGCTAGGGCCCCACGTTTTTCCTTTGGGCTTTCCTTGTCCTGGCACTGTAACGAATGATGTGTGACACAAACCATTATCATTAGCTACTATTATCACTTACTTATACTTTACTTGTTATTAGCTACTAACTTCTGAAAGACGTAAATGTTCCTTACTTGCGATGGCACGAAACCTAGGGAAGACTGGTGAGCTGGGACGTGTGTAACAAGGAAAAAGAAGATAACTGTCTACATCCCAGTGTGATGATCGGGGATTGGCAAGATTGGGAAGACAACTTCTGACAGACATAAACGTTCCTTACTTGCGATGGCACGAAACCTAGGGAAGACTGGTGAGCTGGGAGGAGTGTCGGGACTAGTTGTTCCCCGTCCGCTCCACTTCTCATTGATGTTCTGCACCGTGATGTTGTGCCGAAAATCTGCAAGAACAACAGTAGTGTGAACAATCAATCTGCATGAACAACAGAAGTGTGAACAATCAATGTGCAAGAACCACAGTAGTGTGAACAATCAATCTGCAAGAACAACAGAAGTGTGAACAATCAATCTGCAAGAACCACAGATGTGTGATCAATCAATCTGCAAGAACAACAGAAGTGTGAACAATCAATCTGCAAGAACCACAGATGTGTGAACAATCAATCTGCAAGAACAACAGAAGTGTGAACTATCAATCCACAACAGAATGTGCTGCGGGTGATGCATCAGCAGTTTTTGCAACCGCACTCCCCACTGTCAGGTAAAGACATGACGCGCTGTTTGATGATTAAACAAAATGATAGAAAACAATACGAGAAACGAAACTCACGTGTCTGCATAAACGATGCCTTAGAGAAGGCTGCAATCGAAGCTACAAGCTGCTATAGATGCGATATAGATAAACAGGACTGTGCATCCAACTGTCATATGCTACACATGAGTTCCATTATGAGCAACTGTTTAATGTTTAACTGTTTATCAGACAAGCTATGGAATAGGTTGACTACACTTACAACTCTACATCTCCAAATCCTCATGTTACATATGTGTTTACTTGAGATGCTACAAAATTTGGCTGCCACGGAAACGAACCGATACGCCAACAGGACGTGCTACAAATGTTCCGTTACAGTTCCTAGCTAACAACAGTAGCTACACGATGGGCTGTTAGAACTCGTTCGAATTTTTCATATGAATTACAACCCGTTAAAACTCTTAATAAGTTACATAATGGGTTGCCATGGATACGGCTCGGACCAGCGCTCTTACCCGAAGGCCTGCTGATCAGATTGCTTCCGCCCTTGAGCAGCTTTAAGCGGCTCTTCTTGAACTTGCCCTTGCGCTTGTTTGGCACGGGTTTGTCGTTCTGCTGGGAGAGGATCATGATGTTCAGCTCTCGCTCGAGCAGGTCGATCTCTCGCTCGGCGAGCTCCTGCTCTCGCTGCTTGAGGAACTCCTCTTGGGCCTTCTGCTGCAGCAGCGCCCGCGTCACCTCCTCCTCGCGCGACCGCAGCTCCTGCAAGAGAGGGGGAGGGAGTGAAATAGAGGTGTGTGTGTGTTTGTGACTTTGCGTGCGTGCGTGCGTGTGTGTGTGTGTGTGTTTGTGTGCGTGCGTGCATGCATGTGTGTGTGTGTGTTTGTGTGCGTGCGTGTGTGCGTGCGTGCGAGCGTGCGTGCATGCGCGCGTGCGTAGTGATAGGTGACGTGATGTGTGACGTCACAGATAGGCCCGTGGTGTGCGTGCCTATGGAGGGGGGTCGGAGGTTGGAGAGGTAGGGAAGAGGGTACGGGCAGGATAGTAGAGGAAGGCAGGGGGTGTGCGAAGGTGAGACAGTGTGGACGCACCACATTCATTCATTTGTCTACAACTTCTATTTCCTTTCTAAAATCTGCACATACTACGCACGATATACTACTATACTACTATATTATAGTATATACTACTACTTATACTCCTAGGCACGATGCTGCACACGCTACCACTCCATGCACTCATCCCTCCATCACCTCCATCATCCCCCCTATCCCTGTCCACGCCAAGTACCCCCCCACCCCCGCCCCGTCCCATCCCATCCACGCCTGCTTACGTTCTCCTTGCACTTGAGTTCGTGGAACATGTCCTCGATCTCAAGCTTCCAGTCGTCCTGCATCATGTGGAATGAATCCTGCGGGGTGTTCATGAACGGCGACGCCTCGATCTCGCGCAGCTGGGCGAGGATCTCCGGGAAGCTAGGACGCTCGTGCGGGTCAATCGACCAGCATGCTGCAAGGACACGTCGAATTGTGGCACAGCGGTCAGAACAGCGGTCAAGCACAGCGGTCAAGAATCGGTCAACGGTGAGCACGATTCTTACACTTTAACGTGCGATGAATCGAATCTCGCAAAAAGCAGCGTCGCATCATAGTTCACTGTCTGTAGTAGTCACTGAGGCTGCTTACATTACACGAAACGCTCGTTCAGATTCTACTACTAAGGGTCAGCCTACCTATCAGTTTTCAAGCGATACCACAAGAACACATTAGCAGTGTGTCCATGGCCTTACTGGCTTATTTACGGTTACTTACTCGTTTCTTAACCTTACCCCCCCCCCCACCTAACTTTTCTCATCGAACTTAAGACGTTTCACAAGATCGACCTCGCGCTTACCTTCCATGAGTTTCCTGAAGGCACCAGGACACGTCGATGGGATAGGTAGGATGAGCTTGTTGACGGCGACTCCGTAAGCGACCGCCATCGTATCGATGCCCTTATACGGCGTCTCGCCCGTGAGCAGCTCCCACAGCAGCACGCCATAACTGCGGAGAAAAGTAATGACGTAATCATGACAGAGTCTCGTCTCATCTCGCGGTGCTTCATCTCGCGGTGCTTCATCTCGTGGTGCTTCATCGAGCTTCATGAAATTAGACAACGAGAAACAAACAGTGCTGCTACTGCACCACTGCAGACCAGTCTAGTTATCTAGATAGTATAGTATCAGGAGTAAATAATAATAGATCTATTATTATTCAGTCCTGATAGTATCTATATTACACACTCCTGATCGTGTTATGACATGTCTCTCTAGTAGTACTGAGCTAGGTGTCATCGACCTACGAGGAGCCACGATAGTCACGTTAATAGCAACCTGTGAGTCTGGTTAGTGAAATTTTGTGCATTTTCTGAGCGACAAATCTTATGATGTACTCACGCAACACGTCTTGAACATTTTATTAGCGTAGCATAAACTGGATTTATTGATTAAAGTTCATCTACAGTTCACCTACGTGCTGTTTTACAATCATTCTATGATTAAAATAAAAGTGTCAATGACACTGTAGCTCACCACAAAAAAGGACACAAATGAGTGAGTGAGAAGAAGTCAGTTTTAATTGAGCAACCATCGACGTACATTATAGAAACGAAGAGTATATATGAGAGAACTCCCATTATACACTCTTGATAATTATGTGTAATTTTTTATGTGAAAATAAATGTTTGAGATGTGAAAGTCTGAGATGTGGGCGAGTGATGGCGTTACACCTAAATGATCGCCATTTAACGTTTTTATAATATTCAGATTTAGGCACTGCCTAAAAGCGGAGCTCCCGATGTGTAACGTGTAAGATTGAAAGGATACGCTTATTCCACGTAGCTGCTATATACCACGTGACAATGGTGTTTCCCTGCCCCTAACACAACTTTTGTCAAAGGTTAATTGGTTGTATGGAAGTGTTTACTTCGTATGAGTTTTTCTAGGCGGTAGCACACGGTTGCCATCTGTATATCGCAATAATAATTTATAAACCAAAATGAATCACAATTTGTGACGGTAGATGGCGCTATACCCGCTTTGATGTTTCTTAGCGATGGCGTTCGAAATAAATAGGTTATGCTACGTTCCGACATGTTTTGTAACACTTTACTCTAATATAGACGTTTTATCGGCAGGGTGGAGAGGAAATACCAATTTTGCATTAAAGATATTGTCAATGAAATCTTGTAAAACGAACCAGACAAGTGTGACCCCACAGACTGTTATCTGCGTGTCTATATAATATGCTATATAATTGCCAAAACCTACATAATTTGCATACAAAAAATTTAAATATCCAAACCCCTGTAATACGTTTTGGGGCCAGCCCTTATTCATTCACATACCAAAAATGAGCAAAATCCGTTGAACCTGAACTGACTAAAATGGCAATTTCCATTTTTGCCAAAAAATTGCCGTGGCTCGTAAGTACGTCGACTGGCGACTGCTCCAAAATAGGACGTTCAAACCTCTCCCATAGCAGTAGCAACTATACCCAATTTCAAACGTGGGTCAAACGGTTCCTGAGTTATCGTTGACCGTAGCCAAATGTTGACGGAAGGCCGGACGGACGTACGACGGACGACGACCCATGGTAATAGCTCATCTTGCCGATGTCAAGGCGAGCTAAAAACCAACCAATCTAACATCTAGATATAATCATCTTATCAAGTGATGACAGCGTAAACTTGAGCGGCTGAGTTTTTGAGTTTTTGTGCGACAGAAACTGACAGCTCAAGGTTCCGGTGGAAACGCTGTAATGGAAAGCACACACACATACGCATGCACGCACGCACGCACGCACGCACACACACACACACACTCACACACACACACATGCGCGTGCACGCGCACACGCACGGACACTGCACACACGTGCACACAAACATACTCAAGACGTTCACAACAACAGACTCACACGCATATATGGACGCACACACACATATATGCACACACTCATATACGCAAGCACACGCATGCACGCGTTCTGAACAGTACGGTTTAGCTCTGTAGCCAGTATTGCACATGGCGTTGCTCTATACAACATTATCTCGAAGATTACTCGTGAAACCGCATCGTGTGATGAATGCGTTCAGAAATGTCGATTTTTCTGATTTTCTTAATAGTTATCCTCGCCATAAACCATTACAATGTCACTGCAGTTAGCATTATATTAGGACAACACGGTCATATACTATCAACTCTAACTCCCAAGCAAAGCAGTGTACAGTGACACATGAGCAAAAGCTGACAGATGCGTAGAAGCACGACAGAAATTGTTTGTGTAACCATAGGTGTAACATCGTAAATCAAACCGAGGAGCTTTAAACGGTTCCCACACGGTTGCCTCTGCTACATATCACGATTTGACTGACGAGAGCGTAAAAATCGGCAAAGTTCTGCTATCTGGTTCGCTTTCACGCTGTTGCGCGCACGTGCTTTCTAATGACGTATAAAAGTTAAACTATTCAAGTTCATTATCGAAATTTACGAAACGGAAACGGAAACGGAAACGGAATTTAAAAAACGGAGTTTTTTAACTCGATTGCAGGCAGGGTCAGTTACCTATTACACACCCAATTGAGTGAGAATTTTGGGTGCGAATAAAAATTGAATACGTGAAAGTTGTTCACTCGATTTCAGGCAGGATTAGTTGCCACACACCCAATGGAGTGAGAATTGCAGACGGACACCTCTGCAAGACGATCTTTCACCGACGGCTTATATAAACTAGCATTAATCCAACTAGCATGTACTCATTAGGACCACCCCAACATGCTCATACCCACCCACCAGCAGCTGCACTCGCCAATTATGACCACACGTTAATGGGCAAGCGAGGCGGATCATGAAAATTCATGAAAATCTTCGTGTTAAGAGGTTGGAATTGGCTCGGGCTTTTATGGGGGGAATCGCGAGCCATATTTCGTGATATCTGAAAAGGAAATTTTAACATTTAGGAATGGCCAATTAGGAATAGTTACGAGGAGTTTTTGAGCTGACGTTGCTGCGTAATGGACAACTGTTACAGTAATTAAGCATTTAACTACACATCCACCTAACCATACGATGAGATCTGCACTATACTCTAGAGCAGTAGTTCTTAACCTGGGTTCGGCCGAACCCCAGGGTTCGGTGAGCCAGTCTCAGGGGTTCGGCGGAGGTCCTCCGAAACGCATTAAATTTTTTCTCTAATTTGCTATAATTTGTATATTTTGTTCATTCTTTTGCACGCTTTCCAAATATAGTCTTGAATGTTGATGCAATATGTTTTATTTTTGGATTAATTAAAATTGATTTGTTTTTGTCAAATTTGAGAGGTTCGGCGAGTGAGCAGTGGGTTTCGTTAGGGTTCGGCGCCTCTAAAAAGGTTAAGAACCACTGCTCTAGAGTTTAGGTAGGTATCGGTACTAGGTTCTGTACTATTCTCTAGAGAACAGTCTATGTTATTAACTGTTTTAACTTCGAACAGTCTATACATCCCTGATATCCTGAATACAACGTAATAAAAGAATCTTGTTATGTGAACAACTGTTGTCTTTACGATGCGAGCCTGCTTCAACAATAATGACAAAACGTTAACGTGAAATATAATGTAAATGGAGTCCGGCTATGAATTGGATAGAATCTGTGTGTTAGATTTTCTGCAGTGAAATCTTGTTTGGGATACACTCACTCTTCACTTGTGCTCGTAAAAGCTTCAATTTGCAATTCAAATTGCAAAAACCCTGACCAATTTTGGACACGGACGAAAAAATGCACTCACAAAACCACTATACTCTCCAAACTTGTTTTTTTAGCGAATAGCGTGATCATGAAGTAAATTAATGGTTAATGGGACAGGCCCGGTGGAATCACGGAAGGTATGTTTATACAATGCATAAACACACGCACGCACACATGCACGCACGCACGCACGCACGCACGCACGCATCGCACGACGACCACTCACAAATATATATATATATATATATATTATATATATATATATATATCAAGAGTACATAATAGAGAAGAAAAGTATGACACCGTTTTTAACAGCGTTTCTGCATAGTTTTGCAAGCTTGCAACTTCAACCGGTGGAATCTACGGCAAGGTATGTTTTATACAATGCATAAGCACACGCACGCACGCACGCACGCACGCACGCAGCACGCACGGACGCACGCACGCAGCACCGCACGCACACACACAAACTATATATATATATAATATATATATTATATATATTATATATATATATATATAAGAGTAGCACTAATAGAGAGAAAAGTATGACACCGTTTACAATCAACGCGTTTTGCATAAGTTTCAACTTGTAAATATATTAAAACTTTACGCTTGTTTTTCGTCTATGATTCTCCCTGAATCATATGACACCACAATTTACATGAAAATCGTAATGTGTTCTTCAAAAAAGTTTCTTTGAATATGACACGGTTTCATGCAGAGCTTTTCCCAACCATTCGCATGCTTAGCAGCGAAAGTTTATTATCCGAGCCCATCTAGAGTTCTAATTGTCTATGACGGAACACTGGGGGCTGTTGGGGATATTAGGCATCGAATTGTATTCAGCGTGTAGAGTTTCCAGCGTGCTTAGAAATAAACGTATGTGCTCAACGGCGAAGCTAGCGAGCTGATTTTAGCTTTGTGCCATCCGTTTCCTGATGATAAGGAAGCGAACCAAGTGCTGTTACTGTGCTTTACATAATTCCACCAACAGGCCCGCCAGCGTCCGGTAGTTACAACTCTGGTGCTCGCCCCGCATATAAACATCGCCGAAATGAAATGGCAAACATTTGGGAAAACTGTGTGAAACAGCGTGTCGTATTCAAAGAATTTTTTGAAGAACACATACGATTTTCAGGTAAACTGATGTGTCATATGATTAAGGGAGAATCCGAGACGCAAACAAGGTAAAGTTTGAATATATTTATTCACATATTGATAGAATATTTACAAGTTGAAAACTATGCAAAACGCTGTTAAAACGGTGTCATACTC